CAAAAATTTGTTGTCAGGGCTACAGGCCAAACGGATGATGATACAGCCGCCATACTCACAGGCCACATGCTCCCCATAGTGAACCTTCATCCTAGGGGGGTTCGGTCCCGGAGGGGTGCAAGCTGCACGTGCCAGAGGCAAAAAACGTTTTTCACGGAAAACGCTCTAAAACCGTCATCTACTGAGCTAGCACCATGAAACTTGGCACACTGATAGAACTCGAGAAGCGCTACAAGATGCTGAAAGAATGAGCGCTCTAGCATAAACGTAGCACGTGATATGACCAAAAAACTCTTTACAAATAGAAAGGTCGCGGGTTCGAATCTCACTCATTCCAAACATTTTCGCCTCCGATTCTGGTCCAAGGCAACACGGTAGTGATGCCGGCATCTAGTACTAAAATATGCGCAAGGGTTGCCCCATCAGCTTTGCAAATTCTCATCACGATCCGCCGCGTCGTTCGGAAGCTATCGCGAGAAAACGTCACGGGTCGCATCGACCCGCTGGTCATGCGAGGGTTGATACTAGTGATGTCAATTACGGAAAATCGGAGTACCGATACCAAACCAAATACCAACCAAAACCACGGGAAAATACCGAAACCAAACCAACTTGGGAAACTGTGGGAAATACCAACTTTTTACCGATTTCTTAGCCTCTTATACATAAGTGAGGGCTTATGATACCAACGAAATACCAAACACATTACGATTGAAATACCAAATACCAAGTTGGTATCGGTTTGGTATCGGTATACCAAAAAGTTGGTATCCGATTGACATCTCTAGTTGATACATATGTTTTACAATGATACAATGAACGACTCTTGACTTTTGACTATGTCTTGTTTATCTTATTTCCATTTGAATTTAACCGTTTTCACTTCAAGTGGCTTTAACTAAGGTTTTTTTTAGTTTCGTTTTACAATAAGACAATACAAATTATTATTATTTGACTTTTTTCTATTGACTTTCTACATATTTGATTTTTGACTTGTTTCCATTTGACTATTATTAATTTGACCTTTTGCAGTTTTGACTTTTTGCTTTTGGCTTATAATTTTTGACTTTTAGGAATTTTGACATTGATCATTTGACTTTTGTCTTATGGTTTTTTAGATATATGACTTTTTACTTTAGTGACTTTTTCTTATTTGACTTTTTCCATTTGATTTTTATCATTTTGACTTTTTTGCCGTTTTTTTCACTTTTTGTCTTTTGACTTTTCGCGTTTTTTGACTTTTTGCCATTTGACTTTTTGCTTTTGACTTTTTGCGTTTTTGACTTTTCGCCATTTTGACTTTTTGCCATTTGACTTTTTTGCTTTTGACTTTTTTCGTTTTTGACTTTTCGCCATTTTGACTTTTTGCCATTTGACTTTTTGCTTTTGACTTTTTGCGTTTTTGACTTTTGCCATTTTGACTTTTCGCCATTTGACTTTTTGCTTTTGACTTTTCGCCATTTTGACTTTTTGCCATTTGACTTTTTGCGTTTTTGACTTTTCGCCATTTTGACTTTTTGCCATTTGACTCTTTTGCTTTTGACTTTTATCCGATTTGACTTTTATCCATTTGACTTTTTTCCATTTGACTTTTATCCATTTTGACTTTTTGCATTTGACTTTTTGTCTTTTGACATTTTGTCTTTTGACTTTTTGTCCTGGAATCGCTGTTCAGGCACTTTGTGATGTAGACATGGGCGCTAACATTTGTTGAACTGGGGCCAATCGTTGGTTTTGGTACTCCCTTGGGTGATATGGCTATTCACACAAGAAGCGTACGTGGGAACTTCCTTATCGGGCGGTACGTCACATTCGAAGGTGTGTCTCCACCAGGCCCAGCGTAAAAACCACGGTTTTGTGGCATTTCTGAGCCAGTGTAGGTGAAATAGCTTTCATCGTCCATGATAACATCTTGCTCTCGAGTGGCACTCAGTTTTCCCCGGCTAAGGGGTCGCAGGCGGCCCTTTTGAGATTGTTCTCGCTGCGCAGATACCGGAGGAGCTTTCTGGCGCATCCTATATCTTACCCTTTCCTCTCTGAGAATTTGTCTCACTCTGTCATGCGTTATGCCAAAGCTGCCGCCCAAGAGACGAAGTGAGACGCCGACTTTGCCGTCTGCCATGCGAACAAGGTCTTGGCGCCTCTTTGCTGACATTTTGGGAGCAGGCCTGCCATTCTGAGCTCGTCTGATGTGTCCTTTGTCTAGGAATGTATTGATAACGCGATATATCAGTCGATCGTGGAATACCAAGCGATTTAACGTGGCGGAAAACCTGAGCCTTAGTCAAGTTCGAGTTTTGTCAACTACTCTCGCGACAATGTCTCTTGCGGCTTGCTTGCTCAAATGCTCCATGACGACTGACCTCAATACGTAGCCACAATATTTTAACATCATGCTCGTACAATTCACGTATGGACATTCCGTCCAAATTTCAGGTGAATATCTAAAGGGAGGTTGAAAATAGAGCGATTTCAATTTTGTCTCATTTTGGACTTGACACCCGTTATCTCAAACTTTCACATCGGTGACCTAAAGTCAGGTCAATTTTACGACTTCTCTATTATGACATTGGGAGAAAATTGAAATACTCTTCTTTCGGCGGAAACGCATTCAAACACCGTGACACAGGCAAACATGACACCAAGGCCCTATAGACACACTGAACCGAAAAATTGCACTTGTGAACCCTTCTATGCTCCTGAGCTCATCTCAGGTCATGAAACATCTCCAGCAGTTTTTTACCACAACTTTAGGTAGAAACATGCTTAAGAGCTGAAAAACCACAAATGTGTTCAGCTCAACAATGCCTACCAATCCAAAGACATGCAACATGACTTTTTTCGTGACCTGGACCAGGGGTTAAATTTTCAAGTTGACGTTTTCAGGTCAACTTATAGTTCATTCGACGCGTCTCGACGAGACAAACGCGATGCCGGTAAAATCAGCGCTATACAAGTTTTGAGTCAAAAGTTATGACACAAAAACCTTCACCGCAAAAAAACGCCCACCTGGAAGCTAAACCGTTGACCTCAGGTCAAATCTGAGAACATTATTCAGAAAGGCCTTTGAAAGAGCTATCGAATGCGCTTTCCCGCAGCACTGCAGCTCTATTGACTTCTGATTTATATGCCGATTTGTGAAAAGTTGTCAAAATTGGGGAAAATTTTAAACATTTTTTTTAATAAATTTTGAAATTTAGTTCGTGAAAATTTTACATCATTGGTGACCTCCAGTGACCTCAGCGATGACCTAATCAAAAATGACATAGGTAATCCTGAAAGATACTGTAGCGAGCTATCTGTTAGATTATACCGCGTCTTTCTAGTTTGCTTACTTTCCGGGATAATCTCGTGTGGCCAAAAAGCCCCCATCCCCCACCATGGTGAAGTTGGCTGAGAGGCCCACCCGGGCGCTGACTAAACAAAACATCCATAGTTTTGTCTTCCGTTGACTACATATTACTCTTCACGTCAATTTAGAGACAATTTCGCAAATTGAGGAGGTTGTCGGTTTTACTGGGGACGGTCCCCAGTAACCAAAAAGTTACTGGGGACCGGTCCCCAGTGTCCCCAGTGGTGGTTACGCGCCTGATAAGAAAGTGAATATGCGTAAATATTTGTCCAAAAAGTTCGGTAGCCAAAAGTTTTTACTTGAACAAATGTAGCAACTAATAGAGCAGATGACCTATAACCATACATCACTGATCACAGCCTCTCCCCCCCCCCCCCCAACAACAACAACAAGCACACACAGAACAAACAAAAACAAGTAAGTACCTTCCGCGCCAGAAGCGCGAACGACTTGACATCTCGTGCGAAGTCCTTGACGCCGACCGAGAAGACACGGTAGAGTCGAAAGGCGGTCGGAAACTCGTTTTCCAGCGCTCGCTGGAAGCGCTGGAGGTACTCTACATACCGTCCGAACACGTACTTCTGCAGTCGGGTGACGGGCCGACGGCCCTCGGGCGCGGCGGTGTGGCCCAGCCCGGTCTGCAGGCATCTGTCGGTGGAGCACGGGCGGACACCGGTCACCCACACCACTGCATTGTGGGGCTGTGTACATGCTGCTGCTTCTGGCACTGGTTGGCTCAGGGAATGGGGTAAGAGGTGGCCTCAATAAAGGAGATTGTTAGCCTAATTGTCACAATAGTTCAACAGGAAAAAGGCTGCAAGCATAATCAACGAGCTCTTGGGACATACCTTTTTCAAACATTGAATATGGGTTTGAAAATGACAATAACCAAAAGCTCCTGAGCTGCCTATATCCAACCTTTTCTTTTGCTGTTTATTACTTATGATAGTGAGGTTATCAAGCCTAATTATTAACATAATGTGTACCAAGGCAGTGCTAAACAGTTCATGATATAGCCTTAGCCTTACTAAATAGCCTTACTGAATAGTAGGAAAGGGAAAGACGTTGACTCCTACAAAAACACCAATTACAAGCACATTCATTCATGCCCCCTAACATGCAATGTGAGAATGAATGTAAATGGTGAGCATATTTAAAGCAGAAAAGAGCTAGTAGCATGTGCCACAAAAACAAACAGAAACTAATGATTACTTTATTATTTACATTACTCTTCAAAATATTTGAAGAAGACCTTTCACCTTTTACCAGCATGTGATGATAGGAGGTTTCCATGGTGTGCTGAGGGATAATGCAGGCCAGCAACCAATCTACTGAGAGCTGTCCTGGAGGAGAGATGATACATCTGGAAAGACACCATTTGTTACTGATGGGCAGGCATGCCTGTGAACAAAACAAGCTTGGTGTATCAGCAAAGAACTTCGGAATCTTGTCACACTTCTGGATGGATCTGAATCACTTTCTTTTTTAGCATCAACAATGCAGCTGAAGTCTGATATAGCATCACTTAACCTCAACGATTTCATTTACCATTGCCTGCAATATCTCCAACAACATAGCCTTTGGCACAGTAGTAGTACTGCTATGCTACGCTTATTGATGTCACTTCCATAACAATATTAAATTGCATCTGTAATGTGTTTTCATTCAACCTAGGGAGTTTATTCATGCAATGCAGCAAATGGTGACTAGAGTGTGTGGTGGTACCTAATCAGCGGTAATGGTAAATATTGCACAGGTGCTTTTGTAGGTACTTGGTTGCGCCCTGAACAACTATCCAATATGAAGTCAGGTCAAAATATATTATCTGGTAAGCATTTTATAATTGCTTTGATGATCTGACTCTTTGTTAACTAATACCAACATCTGTCCTGTTTTGACTCAGGAAACTGGTACCTACCTACCTATATGTCAAATTTAACAAAAAACAACAAAACCTAACATGACCTAGGTAGTAGGCAAGTAGTCCGTGCATCAAGTGGGGTCAAACTCCGTGGCTTATATCAATGTCTGCTTCGCTTCTTCAGCCATAACGGCTTTTTGCAGTTTGCACCCCATGGGTGTCGTTTTCTTTAGGCTTGGTAGGGCCAGAGCCCTATCTATGATTACAGAATTTCAACATTAACCCTATGGTGGTGGAGGATGGTAAGAATGGCTTTACTACCCTGAAAGTAATTATTAGAGCCCTACCCATAAATTTCGGAAAGTGACGACCGCGCTGCACCCTCTAAGTCTGAGGGGTGTTCACGGGCACCGCACACTGCTGCGTGCGGTGTGTGCGGTGCCTCCAGCAGGCGTGGGGGTAGGGGATGGGTAGGCGGTTCTGAAGTCACGGCTGCGTGCGGTGGACACTGGACGGTCCGCTGTGGCCAGTCCCGACCGGCCACAAGATCGCTGTGTACGGTGACGGAAGACTGACGTAGGGACGCAGTGGGCGGAGCTTCGAGGCTGTGTGCGGTCCGACCGCACACAGGGCCCGTGAACAGCCCTCTGGACAAATTCACGAAACCAAAACACATGCATCGCTCAACACAACTTATTCTAAGACAAGTGCCATTGTCCCTGGCCCCTCAAAGCCACAACACTTCAAGTTTAAATAATACTGCTTAGATCCTAGTATCCTACCCCTTAAAATGGAAATGAACCGTAACGCTCTCCAATTTCAACGCAAGGTTCTAATAACAGAGAACCGCAACCCAGTCTGACGTAACCAGGAGTCTGTTCGCTTTGTATTGCGAACACAGGGTCATGAAGGTTTATTCAACTGGTTGCCAGGCAACAGAGGCCGTTTTTCAAAAGACCGCAGTCCGTTGCTAGGCAAATTGCGACTGCTAAAAAGGAGTGTGTCGTCTGAAATGTTAGCGAACAGCAAGGAAACATTCGCGATTGTGCGTGTATTTTGAAACAGTTGCGTGACAAATGAATACTAAGATATTTCCAAATGAATACTACAAATGAATACTATGCTTCCAAATAATATTTCCCTTCTTTTTTCTCTACTGTTTGCACAAAGGCGCTTCTAGCAAAATGCAGCCCAAATTCTCACATTTTTTTTCGTCAAAGCAAATGGAAGGAGGTCATTAAAGGGACCCTCCCACCTTCAAAAAGTTAATGAATTGGCATGAAAGTGATGTCGCTCGGTTCAGAAAGAGCAAAAACGAATATCTACCAAATTTCATCGAAAAATATTCACCGGTTTTCAAGATATTAGACTTTTACTTTTGTTTACTTTTTGGGATCTCCGCTGTTCCTAGCGACTTTATTTGAAAGTGCGGCATTTGTTGCGCGCAAAGCAGCATATACCACCGCGTGCTACAAAACGTTTTGGTCAAACATTTAACGGACGTTCGAAAGCCTGATGACGTCATCAGATTCCCGTAATGGTTAAGAGATAGGGACCACGCTGGTCCCACCCTGCAAGTAAAGGGAAGAAATTTCTTGAACACCATAAAGCTGCGGGGGTTGCGACCAGGATAAATGGTGGTTTCTGAGCCTGGCCGCAAACTTGGCTATCTCAACTCAAAACTAATGTTAAGGTGGGAGGGTCCCTTTAAATGAAACCCTGATAAACTTAGCCCGCACCCAAGTGGGCTTTTCACTGATCAGCACCCCATCGTGATCAGCACCACATTACCCCCCCCCTTTCCCCCCAAAAAAAAACATAGCAGCGACACTTAACGACGTTCTAACAGGTCCGTATTTTACCGACTTTTGGGTCATTGACCTGACCTGGAAGGTCAACCAATGACCCAGGACCTTTAACCCTCGCCGGACCTATTGGTTTTCTACATACGCGCCGGCCGAGGGGGGGGGGCGGGTACGACCCCCCCCCCTCGCCGTTTCGCCCCTGGTGGAGCTAGCGCGTCGCGGAAAAAACGAGCGTGTGCGCCGTTACGAGACGCAGAGATTGGTACCCGATTTTAAGGTCCTAGGTCAACCGGTGACCTCTGAGGTCAGGTCAAGTGCCCCAAGGTACGGTTCAGTTTTTGGTGAATAACTTCGCAAAAAACGGCCGCAGAGCGCCGATTTTGGCAGCATCGTGTTCGCCTCGCTCAGGCGCGTCGAATGATATACTTTTTGTCCGGGTCAGGTCAACTTGGGGTGTTGACCTCAGGTCAAGGTCAGGTCAGCACCCCCAGGTCACGAAGATGGTCGAAAGAGGTCATGTCGCATATCATTCGATTCGGCAGGCCTTCCTGAGTCCATTGGTGGCTTTCCCGACTCGCTAGCTCAATTTGATCAAGAGTTATTGACGAAAAACTAATATGACCTTGATGACGTCATAAATGACGTCACGCAAGGTCAACATTGCAAAAGTGACACATCTAACCTTGCAAGGAGTGCATCAAATCACGATTCTGTGTGCTTGAGATAGTTGGAGATCGTTCCCGGCGCCAGAATAGCAGTTTTCATTTTTCCCCATTGACTTATAATGGTGAGGTCACGAAAATGACCTGACCTAATATGACCTTTAGGAAAAATCCGAGATATACAACTTGTGAGACTCATAATGGATACTAGATCCTGCAAGTTTCATTTCCCTGTGACATCTCCTCTGGCAGCGAGGGCGTTGCGAAGTTGCGACATCTGAAGACCGTGCAGAGGTTCACTTATGACGTCATAGGTCAGTGACCTGACCTGACCCAAAAATGCGGTTGGTGTCAAAAGATCCGGCTTGAATCAAAGGTCAGGTATGCCAAGTTTCAGCTTTCTATCGCCAGCGTGTTCGGAGCTATCGCGAAAAAACCCTATGGGGGGGGGGCGGCACCCGCCCCCCCCCCCCCCCTCGGCCGGCGAGGGTTAAATTGGGAATTATCGGCTTCCTCTCGTCACGGGCAACACGCTCGTTTTTTCCGCGAAGCTCTGGCTCGATCAGGGGCGAAACGGCAAAGGGGGAACGGACTTTACTCTCCCCCTTTTCAAGTTGATGCAACCCCCCCTAAGTTTTTTTTTCGCGAATAACTCGCGTAAAAAGCGGCTGATCGCGACGGATTCAAGCTACCATGCTATGGCGGGTTTAGCCTCCAGCAGTGTTCGCCACGGGCCACAAAATCTCAGCCCAGCCCGGCCCAGGCCCATGGGTTCACAGCCCGGCCCAGCCCGAGCCCATTCATGGTAAAAGCGTCAAAGCCCAGCCCGGCCCAGCCCGTCAAAAATGAATGGTTTACAAATTATTGACACCACACAGGTACCCATAGGAAGCAAAGAAACAATCTTGCGAGCAGCAATGCACATTGCACGCGTGCTTTATTAACTCGTTTTTTAGTCTTGCACAGAATAAGCTATGTATTTATAGTTTTTATCTGAGTTGCGAACCCCTGACTCCACTTTACAGTTCTTGGTTCAGCCCATCCACAGCCCATCGATCCTTCATATTTGAGCAGTGCTTTCCGCGATAACTAATTTTCGGACCTGCGATAACGATAAAACGATAAGTAAGGTTTGCGATAACAATAAACGATAAACGATAAAAATTTGCAACAAATTAACAGCGATAGCGATAAAACGATAAAACGATAACGGTAATTGCTTTTTTAACAGCGATAACGAAACGTTAAACGATAATTGTTTTTTAACAGCGATAACAAATGCGATAAGAAACACAGCTTAAATAAGTGTACTTAAAGCTTATTTGCAGATCTATACACTTAGCAGATGGCAACAGGTTGCGCACACTTACTGTCGCGCAGCATACACTGTCGATCGTCTTCCATTTTTCCATCATCCCGTTTTACATTTTATCGTTTGTCGTTAATAATTTTTGTAACTTGCGATAAGTGGATGAGCGATAATTTTGAAAATTTAGCGATAAACGATAAAGATAACCGATTTACTTAACAGCGATAATTATCGTTTATCGTTCATCGCTCATCCTATTGCATGCGGAAACCACTGTATTTGAGGGCCCAGCCCAGCCCATGGCCCATTGGGCTGGCCCGGCCCATGGCGAACACTGGCCTCCAGGAAACGGTAAAAAAGTCTTCAGTGTACCTACGTTCGCGGCTAGCAAAACACCAATACGATACGGGCGGGGGTTAAGATGACCTAAAAAGGTCAACTTAAAGGTTTGACCTTAGGCCCAGGACACAGAAAAGCCAAAGATCATGTTGCATATCAGTCGATTCGAATCGTTGAGCTGAACGCATTCATGGTGTTTGCAGCACTCTAGCATGTTTTATCTAAAGTCATTGTCAAGACTTCTGTTCGAGTCCTTTCATGACTTGAGATGACCTCAGGGGCATAAAAGGGGTCAAATGTGCAATATTCCGATTCGGTGAGTCATGTACACCTAACACCTGTTACCCGATGTTTGGTGGTATTTCCGTCCTAAAGAAAGAAGAGGCCGTTCGTCACCCAGCTAAGCATCTGTGATGGGTTGCTCGGCGGGTGGATGGCGGGCGGGCGTGTCTGACGTTTTGTGTGCTATGTTTTCTTATGTTGTAAGCTTACTCAATGTAATCATCTATGTGCAATCTTAATTGTACCTATGTTGTTTCTTCTCTGTTCACTGTTGAAAGGGCGCTTTAATTTAAGCTTTGCTTTTACGCCTATCTACTATTTTGTTGTTTCTTCTGATGTTTTAGAGAGTATATTCCCGTATTATTAATATCCCGTATATATATATATATATATATATATATATATATATATATATATATATATATATATATATATATATTATATATATATATGGCGTACATATATATATATACAATGTATATATATGTATATATATATATATATATATATATATATATATATATATATATATATATATATATATATATATATAAACATATATATATATATATGTATATATATATATATATATATATATATATATATATATATATATATATACATTGGCGCCACAACCACGACACTCTCCCGGCGTATCACAATGCACCTGAGGGAAGGCTCACCAAAAGAACATTCGCGCATACACCACAACTCACATTTGACACGAACACAACTCGTTGAGAACACGACAATCATCGCATCATGCAACGATCCAAAGCGACTGCGGATTCTCGAAGCACTACACATCAGGGAGAAAACGCCCACAATCAACAAACAGATAGCCTCATCTGCTGTTACTTTAGCACTGTGGAGTGGGTGAAGAATTGTATAGGTGATGAAAGAATGTGTCTTTATGTGTATGTATGAATTGTAAAAAGGTTTTAATGTGAGTATCAGAATGAACGATAGTATTTCGACAATACTTGGAAAGCAATGTCGCGTGCACCTGAACTATTATTCAAATGCTAGATTGTGCAAAAATAAGTGTGAATTAATGACCATTCGAACGCGATGTAACCGACTCTGTATATGTAACGATTGTATGCTTGCTCATTTTATTCTGAAGATGAAACATGAGTGTTTTGAAACGTTAATAGATCATGAGCATTGGTGAACTTTTATTTAAACTACCGAAACATCAACGAAAAACATTCCGACAAATCGAAGCCACCACACGGAAACTGGTGAAAGCTGAAAATGCCCTGGTCTTTAATGAGACTGCAATAAAGGAAAACCTTCTGCCAAACTATACGAATATATATATATATATATATATATATATATATATATATATATATATATATATATATATATATATATATATATATATATATATACATATATATATATTATAATCCCGTATGTTCCGTCTTCTTTTTT